GTGGGGTGATGAGGTGTGCCAGTCCGATTTATATGAACTGGTCTCCCTATTTCTCTGAATTCTCATTTTCTAATACCTTCTCTCTTAATTCTCTCCCTAATTCATCTGTATAGGCTCCCTTCTTTCACCCATCTTTACATTATTCTCTATTTATCCCTCTAACCTCTTTCTCCCTTATCCTCCCTTGATGTTTTTTACGAGGTTCTCTCCCTTATTATCCCTTAAGACTTTATATCTCTCCCAGACCACTCTCTCCCTCTTTTCCTAACCACTCCCCCCCCCCTCTCTTTGCTAAAAACTCCCTCCGTCTCTTCTCCTCCCTTAATACATCCACTAGCCTCCCTCCCTCCCTCCCTCCCCCATTTATTATATCTTAAGTCTTTTCATCTCCTTCCCTGACTACTCTCCCTCTCTTATCATTCCCTTAATAATCTCCACCTCCCTTCCTAACCTCTCTCTGACCCTCTTGATTCTCTCCCTTTCTTTATTCATAATCTCCCTCCTGTCATAATCCTCCTCCTAGGCCCCAAACTCCTTAACTTAATCCTGATTTTCGTGTATGTTGAGTCCTTACTGTTTCCCACGCCAGGCCCACCCACCATCCCCTTCCTTCCTTCCTTCCTTATCCTCCATCACACCTACTTTCTTCCTCCCTTCCTCCCTTGCCCACCATCGCACCTCCTTCCTTCCTTGCCCTCCATCACACCTCCTTCTTCCTGACTTTCTTCGTCACACCACCTTATTCCTTCCTCCCTCCTCTTCCGTTACTCCTCCACCTTCCTTCCGTCCTTCCTTCCTTCCTTCCTTCCTTCCTTCATCGTCTTCCATCATACCTCCTTCATCCTTCCTAGTCTTCTTGTTCAACCTCATACCTACTCCTTCCTTTCTTGTCTTCTTCCATTACTCAGTGTAAGAGGTGAGAGGTCATCCTTCAGGTCACCTCACCCAGTGTAAGAGTTGAGAGGTCATCCTTCAGTTCATCTCACCCAGTGTAAGAGATGAGAGGTCTTCCTCCAGGTCACCTCACCCAGTGTAAGAGGTGAGAGGTCATCCTTCAGGTCACCTCACCCAGTGTAAGATATGAGGGGTCATCCTTCAGGTTTTCTCATCCAGTGTAAGAGGTGAGAAGTCATCCTCCAGGTTACCTCACCCAGTGTATGAGGTGAGAGGTCATCCTACAGGTCACCCAGTGTATGACAGAGTGGTCATCCTTCAGGTCACCTCACCCAGTGTAAGAGGTGAGAGGTCATCCTTCAGGTCACCTCACCCAGTGTAAGATATGAGAGGTCATCCTTCAGGTCACCTCATCCAGCGTATGACAGAGAGGTCATCCTTCATGTCAACTCACCCAGTGTAAGATAGAGGTCGACCTCGAGGTCATCATCATCACGACAGAAGACCAATACAAAGCGACCATAACACACTGAGAAGTTTTTACCAAGTTGTAGACGCTGGCCAATGATAACAAATCTCTCTGCTTCTCGGCCTAATCGCTTTACCGTAACTTTATTCATCCTAATTATTCTTCCTCTCACTCCCACTCATTCTCTTTCACTCCCTTTCTCTCCTCTTACTCCCTCTCAGCGCCTCTTACTACCTTTCACCCCCTCTCACTCTTTATCACTCCCTCTGATCTCACTCCATTCCACTTTCTGTCACTTCCTCTTACTTCCACTCACTTCCTCTTACCCCCTCTCACTCCTTTTCACTTCTCACTCCTTACTTCTCACTCCTTACTTCTTCTCTCTTCCTCTCACTCCCTCGCACTTCTCACTTCCTCTCACTCCCTGTCACTTCCTCTTACTCCCTGTCACTCTGTTTCACTTTCTCTCTCTGTTCCTCTCACCCCTCGCACTTCCTATCACTCCCTCTCACTTCTCACTCCCTCTCACTTTTTCTCACTCACTCTCACTTGCTCTTACTTCATCTCACTCCCTTTCACTTTCTCTTTCTGCCTCTCACTCTCCTTCTCCTCTCTTGCTTCCTCTCAATCTCCTTTCCTCTCACCCCCCCATGCCCCCTCTCACTTTTCACTCCCCCTCTCACTTCTCACTTCCTCTCACCCTTTCTCACTCCCTCTGATCTCACCACTCTAATTATCTTGCAAGAAATCTCCCTCACTCAATGTTTGTTAAAAATCTCATCTTTGATCCGGGAATTTTCGTCTCTCCTGCACGTCCCACCTCCACCTGCCTCCAGTCTTTACTCTAAATCATACGACCGAGTTATTGTTTTTCTTCTCGTCCTCCACCACACACAGATGCTATCATAGACCCTCCTAGTACAGATGTTATTCCTGTGTGTTATTTCCCATTGTGTATGTGTGTTTTCTGTGCTTCGACTACAACGAGGGGCTTTATGTATGTAGACGCCACACGAAAACAACTAAAATGTAAACATATGAACGGGCTGACTGATTTATCGACATTGACGTACATTAATATGACAAACGGTTCTTCTTTCTTCTCTCATTTCCTGATAAATTGAACTCTAAAATTGAAACACTTCTTGGTATGCCCAGAGCTTTCATATTATAATCTCCCGGGAACTTCTCACTGCATCGCCCATCCTTTATAAAAAGTGAGCCGCCGTCTCCCTCAGCCAGCGGGAGACTCGTAGCCTTCACCTCAGTCATCGCCAGAGTTATGGAAGCCGTCATAAGCAAGCAAACTTTTCTCTCGTGTTGAGAAAAATGTTGATCCACACCACAGAATATAGACTTGCTCAAAGATGTTTCACTATAGATTTCTCTCCTCGTATTCACAACAGAGCGAGAGCGAGAGAATGATTAAGTCATTTAAGCCGAGTGTGAGTTTGGGTGTCGTTCATGCCTGTATGTATCATGTGTTTATGGATATTAGTGTGTGTGTGTTTATCTGTGTTGGAAGGTTCTTGTGTGTGTGTGTGTGTGTGTGTGTGTGTGTGTGTGTGTGTGTACATTCCTACCCTGTTATATTTTTAATTTACAGTTTTATTTTAATGTACATTACTGCATTCAGTGAACCACACAGTTCCTCACACACCAGGTGAACCACACAGTTCCTCACACACCAGATGAACCACACAGTACCTCACACACCAGATGAACCACACAGTACCTCACACACCAGATGAACCACACAGTACCTCACACACCAGGTAAACCACACACTACCTCACACACACCAGATGAACCACACAGTACCCACACACCAGGTGAACCACACAGTTCCTCACACACCAGGTGAGCCACACACACACCAGTCCACACAGTACAACACACCCACAGTACCTCACACGGGTGAACCATACAGTACCTCACACACCAGGTGAACCATACAGTACCTCACACACCAGGTGGACCACACAATACCTAACACACCAGGTGAACCATACAGTACCTCACACACCAGGTGGACCACACAGTATCTCACACACCAGGTGAACCACACAGTACCTCACACACCAGGTGAACCACACAGTACCTCACACACCATGTGAACCACACAGTACCTCACACACCAGGTGAACCACACAGTATCTCACACGCCAGGTGAACCACACAGTACCTCATACACCAGGTGAAGCAGACAATACCTCACCCCCCCCTCCCCGACCTCTTCCTGACGGTGCTACAGGCGCGGGTGAAGCTCCAGCAGCGGAGTTACCTGGAGAGCGAGAAGCTGTTGCGTCACGTGTTGGATCAGGACCCCGCCCATCTGGAGGCTCTCTTCCAACTCTCACTCCTCTACACTCACACCAACCGGTCCCAGGACGCCCTCTCCCTAGCCCACCGTGCCGCCCACAATTGTTCCAAGCCGCCCACCCTCTGTGCCCGCCTTCACGCCCACTACGGGGACCTACTGAACGACAGACACAGCATCGACCAGGCGGCGCGGGTGAGTCTCTGTCTCTCTTGCTGAACCTTCAACCTATATCATGGTATATAAGTTAGTCATGTCCTTTACTTTACTTGGTCATACGAGTATACTGCGACGGGGGAGTGGTTACAGCTGTCCCTTGTAATCCCGAAACACTCCCAGTCCTCCCACCTGTAAATGGGCATTTAAATTTACAGACGATGAAATGAAAGCAGACGAGTTTAATTCCAACCACCTCTCTTAATATATACTGTTCCTACCAGTCAGCTATACCTATAGGACCAACTTGTCATGTCTTAGTAATTGGCGTAGAAAGTTTCTATTGTTTTAAATCCTTACATGCCAATGACACACTGAGGTATTTTATTCTTGCTGACGCTAGGTAATTTTATTCAGGTGAAAGACATGCCTGGGGTACCCTCTGAAGGGTCAAAACTTGTACATATCAGTAATATCTGTACATTTCCTTTTATTCCAGAGCTACCGTCTGGCAGTGGAACTAGAGCCAACCCTCACTCATGCCCACGTCAACCTTGGAGCGCTGTATCATACCAAGGTGAGTACTGAGTCACCCGCTCCTGCTGGTGATTTGGCCAGAATTAATTTGCCAAGTTCCTCGAGTACTAAACCAGGTGCCATGTCACCCCCATGACCTTCACAGAAAGATGTAATGTCTCCTTAGTAACCAACATAGCTATATGTGAGGTCACCCTAATGACGTTCATTTTAAGGTCTCAGGTCACCATAAGAGGTCGTCTAATCACCAGAGTCAGTTCAGCATTAGGCCACCATAAGTGGACAGCGTCAGATCACCATAAGAGGTCAGCGTCAGGTCACCATAGGAGGTCAGCGTCAGGTCACCATAACGGGTCAGCATCAGGCCACCATAAAGGGTAAACGTCAGGTCTCCTTATGGGGTCGGAGTCAGGTCACCATAAGAGGTCTCCATAAGAGGTCTGTGTCAGGTCACCATAAGGGGTCAGATAAGGTTAAAACAGGGGCTGGTGTCAGGTCATTAAATTATATTATCTCATCAAAGTTAAATTTTTAGTCGTCGTGAACACCAAATACGTCCTCCCTAGCCTAACACTTCCCACACCTGAAGAAACTTTGATAAATAATTCTTGTTTTTCACCCACCGTCAACAACACATTAATAGCTTCTTTTATAAGAACATAAGAACATAAGAATGGAGGAAACTGCAGCGTGCCTATTGGCCCATACTGGGCAGTCCCATTTACACCCAACCCCTATTGCTCATATAAGTATCCAACCTATGTTTGAAGCTATCCAGCATATTCGAGTTAATGATAATATTTGGTAACTTGTTCCATTCATCCACTACTCTGTTTCCAAACCAGTGTTTACCTATTTCGCGCCTAAATCTAAATTTGTCTAATTTAAAACCATTGTTACGAGTTTGCTCCTGGTTGGATAGTTTGAGTACCTTTGTAATGTCCCCTATGTTTAGCCCTGACTTCCATTTATACACCTCTATCATGTCGCCCCTCGCTCTACGTCTCTCGAGGGAGTGCAAATTAAGATGCTTTCTCTTGTCTCTGTACTCAAGGTTCCTAATGCCCGGGATTAGTTTTGTCATTCTCCTCTGGATTCTCTCCAAGAATTCTATATCCATTCTGTAATATGGTGACCAGAACTGAACTGCGTAATCCAGGTGACGTCTCACAAGCCCAAGATATAATCTTAAGATGACCTCGCTAGTCTTGTAACTAACACTCTTTTGTATGAACCCAAGTACTTTATTAGCCTTGTTACGAGCAAAAACGCATTGTTTACTTGGCTTAAGATTCCTACTTGTATTTACTCCTAAATCTCTCTCGCAGTCGGATTTCTCAATGGCATCGTTGTTCATCTGGTAACTGGTTTCCCTGTTTACATCTCCTATACTGAGTACTTTACATTTGTCCACATTGAATTTCATCTGCCATTTTTCAGACCATTCGAAAAATTTGTTTAGATCTTTCTGTAGTTTTGCAGAGTCCTACTTAGATTTAATTACAAGTCCTATTTTAGTGTCTAGGGCAAATTTACTTATGTTGCTGTCTATGTCGACATCTATGTCGTTTATGTATATAATAAATAATAATGGTCCAAGTACTGAACCTTGGGGAACTCCACTAGTGACGTTGCTCCAATGGGATTTAGTGCCGTGAATGCTCACTCAGTGTTTGCTTTCCTGTAACCACGCCCTAATCACATTTTAGAATATTACCTTTAATGCCATGTGTTTCTACCTTTCTTATTACTCTTTCGTGGGGGACTCTGTTGAAGGCTTTGCTAAAGTCGAGATATACCACATCATAATTGTGTCCCTCGTCTACCGATTCGAGAACTGATGAAAAGAATGTTAATAGATTAGTTAGACATGAACGCCCGCTTGTGAAGCCATGCTGAGAATCATTGATCAATTTGTGCTTCTCCAGGTGGTTTCGAATAAAGTTTGAAATGATTGCTTCCAGTAATTTGCCTACAATTGATGTTAGACTGATTGGATGGCAGTTAGAGGATAGTGATCTATCCCCCTTCATGAAAATCGGTATTACATTTGCTATCCTCCAGGATTCTGGTACTTCACCTGTTTTTAAGGACATGTTAAACAACTTTGCTAAGGGCATACTAAGCTCTTCCTTACATTCCTTTCATACTCTGGCAAATATCTCATCGGGACCAGGTGACTTATTAGGCTTTAGTTTGTCTATTTGCTTGCTAACATCGTTACTAGTCATCACTATCTCTCTTAATTTGTTTTCTTCACTATCTCTGTATAGAGTCGAAGCTTCAGGTATCATGTTTAAATTTTCGGTGGTGAAAACTGTTGAAAAATATTTATTCAGATTATTGGTCATTTCTCCGTCGTATTGGTCCAATCTTTTCTCGTGTTTTAGTTTTATACATTTGATAGAATCCCTTGGGGTTTGTCTTCGTCTCCCTTGCCATCCTCAGCTCATTATTCCTCTTTACTTTTCTTATCTCGGTCTTAACCCTACTGGCCAATACCTTATAATAATCCCAGAGGTAAATTTCGCCACGATTTATCCTCCTACCTATAGCCTTCCTTTGACCAATAATGTTCTTTCAATAATTATTTATCCATTATGATATAACTAAATGTGCTTACATACTGATTACATATTATTATTTATCGTCTTTAGGTGAACATCTGATATTTAAACTACGACGAATGGGTCGCTGTTAATTATTTTTAATGCTCGTTACTGAGGCAGGAGACTTTAAGTTAATATACTCCATTACAGTGTGTTGTTTACGGCGGCATAAACATGAAGATCGCTAAGCGTTCATTAAGGTGGAGATGATAATATTTTACGTGGCCCCTCCTCCAACAGGGCGCTCCCTCCTGCCATGCATCCCTCCTTTCCTCCATCCCACCCCAATCTTTTCCTCCTTCCTTCCCTTCCTCCATATCTTCCCCCTTGACTCTCTCCCTTTTTCCCTCCTTCCATCCCTTCGTTTTTCCTTCCTCCCTTCCTGTCTGCCCCCCTCCCTCCCTTCCTCCATACACCCATCCCTGTCTGCCTGCGTTCCTCCCTCTCCTCCCACTGGATACTCTCTTCCTCTCTTCTTCCCCTGAAGTCTCTCTCCAACACTCCGTCCTCTAAGTTCTTCTTCCTCCAACTCTCCCTCCTCTGGATCCTCCCTCCTTCAGCACTCCCTCCCGCTGGTCCGAATACCTCCAATATTCCCTCCTCTGGGTCCAAATGCCTCCAACACTCCCTCCTCTGGGTCCAAATACCTCCAACACTCCCTCCTCTGGGTCCAAATACCTCCAACACTCCTTCCTCTGGGTCCAAATACCTCCAACACTCCCTCCTCTGGGTTCTCCCACCACCAACAGTCCCTCGTATGGGTCCTCTTCCCTCCACCACTCCCTCTCTAGATTCTTCCTCCACCAACACTCTTTCCTATGAGTCCTCTCTCCTCCAACACTCCCTCCTCTGGGTCCTCCTTCCTCCAACACTCCCTTCTCTGAGTCTTTCCTCCTCCAAAACTCCCTCCTTCGGGTCCTTATTCCTCCACCACTCCCTCCTCTGGGTCCTCCCTCCTCCAACATTCCCTCCTCTGGGTCCTTTTACCTCCAACACTTCCTCCTCGGGATCCTCCCTCCTTCAGTACTCCCTTCCGCGGGTCCGAATACCTCCAACATTCCCTCCTCTGGGTCCAAATACCTCCAACACTCCCTCCTCTGAGTTCTCCATCCCCCTTTGGATCCTCCCTCTTCAGGGTCCTCCATCCTCCAACACTCTCTTCTCTGGATCCTCCTTTCTCCAGCACTCACTTCTCTGAGTCCTTATTCCTCCAACATTCCTTCCTCGGGGTTCTCCCTCCACCAACACTCCCTCCTCTGGGTCCTTATTCCTCCAACACTCCCTCCTCTGGGTCCTCCTTACTCCAGCACTCCCTCCTCTGGGTCCTTCCTTCTCCAACTCTCCCTCCTCAAATTCCTTATTCCTCCAACACTCCCTCTTCCGGGTCCTTATTCCTCCAAAACTCCCTCCTCTGGGTCCTCCTTCCTCCAACACTCCCTCCTCTGGGTCCTCTTTACTCCAGCACTCCCTCCTCTGGGTCCTTCTTCCTCCAACACTCCCTCCTCAAATTCCAACCTCCTCCAAAACTCCCTACTCCGGGTCCTTATTCCTCCAACACTTCCTCCTCTGGGTCCTCCATCCTCCAAAACTCCCTCCCCCGGGTCCTTATTCCTCCAACACTCCCTTCTCTGGGTCCTTCCTCCTCCAACACTCCCTCCTCCCAGATAATAAGTGTCACAAGGCTAACAAAGTACTTGGGTCCATACAAAGGAGTGTCAGTTACAGGACTAGCGAGGTTATCATAATCTATATCTTGAACTTGTGGAACCTCACTTGGTTTATACTGTTTAATTTTGGTCATCGTGCTACAGCATGGATATCGAATCCCTAGAAAGCATTTCGAGAAAAATGAAAAGGCTAATTCCGGGCATTAGGATCTTTGAGTATTGAGACAGATTAAAGAGTCTGAATTTGCACTCCCTCTAAAACATAAAGTGAGGGGCGATATGATCGAAGTGTAAAAATGGAGGTCAGGGTTAAGCGAAAGTGATATAACAAAAGTATTTAAACTATCCCACCAGGAACGAACTTGTAGCAATGGCTTTAAATTAGACAAATTTAGATTTAGGCGCGAGATAGGTAAACACTGGCTTGGAAATAGAGTAGTGGATGAGTGGAACAAGTTACCAAACATCATCATTAACTGAACACTCTGGGTAGCTTCAAATGTAGGGTGAATAGATGTATGAGATATAGAGGTTGAATGTAAACGGGGCAGCCTAGTTTGGTCCAATCTTGTCTCGTGTTTTAGTTTGATACATTTGGAAGAATCCCTTTGGGTTTGGCTTTGCTTCTCTTGCTACTTTTATTTCTCTATTTCTCGTTGCTTTTCTTATCTCGGTCTTAACCCTACTGGCCAATACTTTATAATAATAGCGGAGGTAAACTTCACCACAATTTATTCTCCTACCTATAGCCTTCCTTTGTCCAATAATATTCATCGAATAATTATTTATTCATTTGGGGTCATTGTTATTTGGTCGGAGTTTTCTGTGTGATATATTCTGCCTTTGTGCGTTATGTAACAAATTGTCTTCCTTCCTCCCGTAAACTGTCACAGGTCTTTCCTCCTCCCGCATACTAAGTGTAACAGGTTCTCCCTCCTCCCGCATACTAAGTGTCACAGGTTCTCCTCCCGCATACTAAGTATTACAGGTTCTTCCTCTTCCCGTATTCTAAGTGTCCCAGGTCCTCTCTCCTCCCGTATAATAAGTGTCACAAGTCCTCCCTTCTCCAACACTCTCTCCTCCCGTATGCTAAGTGAAACAGTGTCACAGGTCCTCCCTTCTCCAACATTCACTCTTCCCGTATACTGTCACAGATCCTCCTTCCTCTCTCTCATTATCCCTCTTCCTTGTTTGTTATTATTCTTTTTCTTTCCATCCTCATTATCTACCTCATTATCAATTCTCCCTTCTCTCTTTCCCTCCTCCCTTACTCCTCGTCAATCTTTCTCCCCTCTCCTTCTCCCTTACGCCTTTTTCCCTTCATACACTCATCTCGTTGCCTCCCTGAGTCTTCTCCCTTACTCTCTCTCTCTCACCCACTAGTTTTCCCTAGATCCCTTTTTCTTTCCTTCCTTACTCACTTCATCCCTCCTTCCCATGTTCCTTTCACCATACTAATCCTTCAGCTTTCATGTCCGTCCTCTGTCTGTCTCTATCTCTGTCTCTCTCTATCTCTGTCTCTCTCTATCTCTCTATCTTTCTTATTCTATGACAGTCTCCTACTCCTTCCTTAAATAATATTCCTTCCCAAGGACTCTTCTTATCCGGTAATAAAACATATTTCTTTCTCATTATTTCCTTATATCCAGCACTGATTCTTGGTATCATACATTAACTAATATATATTTTTTTATCGTACATAAAAGATATATCCGAAAAGAATGTTTGGTTAGTTTTTTCACCATGTGATATTTACCTTCGTCTCCTACTGCGTGACGTAACACCTGTTTTTCGTTAACTAGTGAAACGTCCTAAGGATCTTCTATCTCGCTTCTCTCTTATTCACTCCGCCACGCAAGAAAATGTTACATTTTGTTTACATTGACGGCGATACGGTGTGTACTTACATTACCCTGCACCACACCACACCACACTGCTATGAGTGTACAATGTGTACATCAATCAATATACTGGAGATAGATCTGTCCGTACACCAATCTCTGTATACACCACACGATATGTACATTTACCAGTGTACACAAAGCTGCATGTTCAACACTGTGTGTGTGTGTAAACACTATCTTGGACCAATCATCAGGTCCCTCACCTGCTTCAGGTGGATGGTCAATTGACAAATTGACTTTCTAATGTAATATGATGTTGCGTTACTCTCACGCCTGAGGTGAAGGCATTATACCAAGAGCGAGATGCTCAACACGCAACAGTGTTTCTGCAGGTGAGAGAAAACCTTTGGGATCAAACACCAGTACTGTCCTTTGTGGTTATTCATACAAACCACTTGCGGGATCATGCGGAAATACCATCTTGTGGTTATGCCTTCATGCACACTGTACGAGGCACGAAAGTCGAAGTCTGTGTATGCATTTATTCATATGGATAAACATGAACTCGTTTCCAACACTCGAGTATTTGTAGGAAGGTGAAGACGAGACAGATGGAAAATACGTCCAGATGATAAAAATGAAAGAGACAGGTTATAAAAATGAGAGGGAAATGAGTTTGGTGATTATATATATATATATATATATATATATATATATATATATATATATATATATATATATATATATATATATATATAATCAACACCTAAACCCGCCAGGATTCGAATCCACTGCCCACGAGCCCATGACTGTGACCGGGAACGCTACCTCTGGACCACCAGGATACTAAAAGCAGTCTAGACTCTGGTATATTTCACACAAGCCTGTTCAACGAGCTTATGGCGCCGTGAACTTCTAATGGGGACTATCCCGTATCACGTAGGTGGTCAGAGTAACGTTTTACCAAATCCGGCTTCGAAACACGAGGATCCATATATAATTCATTAGCCCACAGTCATGGGCTCCTGGGCTGTGGGTTCGAATCCTGGCGGGTTGAGGTGTCGATTGTATGTAGAAGTCCGCGTGCTTTATTGGGCTAATGAAATATATATGGATCCTCGTGTTTCGAAGCCGGATTTGGTAAAACGGTTACTCTGACCACCTACGTGATACGGGTAGTCCCCATTAGAGGTTCATGGCGCCATAAGCTCGTTGAACAGGCTTTGTGTGTGATATACCAGAATCTAGGACTGCTTTTAGTATCCTGGTGGTCCAGAGGTAGCGTTTCCCGGTCACAGTCATGGGCTCGTGGGCAGTGGGTTCGAATCCTGGCGGGTTTAGGTGTTGATTATATATATATATATATATATATATATATATATATATATATATATATATATATATATATATATATATAATAAATATATTAACAGAGAGAGAAAGAGAGTCCCATAAGACTTCATCTAACACACTAACACAATAACCATCTCCTCCTGCAGGGTGACTACACACGAGCTTGGAGACACTACCTAGCAGCTCACGGCCAGGAGCCCTCCAATACCCTCTTGCTAGAAAACATGGAGAAGCTGCGGCGCGCCCAGGACCTTCATGCCTCCGCCAGCATCCCTCACTGCCTCAACAAGTCCTGATAGTCGTCGCGATCAGAAGGGCGCTGTGTAGAACCTTACGTCGTCCCTGTGTCTTAGGCTAAGAGATTGTTGCCAAAGATGATTTGTGGAGCTGTAGACAACAACTATTAGGGGTCACCTGAAGAGTAGCCCCCCATCTTACCTCTCCTTAAGATTAACCACCTTAACGCTAACCTAACCTAACCTAACCACCCCCTCAGTAGCATTATGGTATTTAATCACCAAGTCAAATTAGCTTGGGGGTTAATCTTCAAATGGTCCGTTTTGGGATTATGTAGGAGGTAACAAGAGTGATATGTTGATGGTCTGACACTGACATGATTTTACACACGCACACACACACACACACACACACACACACACACACACACACACACACACACACACACACACACACACATGCACACACACTTACTCTTTCAACCACTCTATTCCTCCCTCATCATCTTACTCTGTCTCCCTCACTCTCTAGTCAGGTTCTATATATAATGACTTCCAAGAAGTATGGTTTCATTACTTATACGTTTATTAAAGCATTTTATCACCTTATTGGAAATCTGGGCTTGTAAACACCAGCTATAAATTTAAATAATCATTTAAGTAATAGGATTACAATTTACGTTTTTCTGTAGAGGACATGAGCCATTTCCATTAACCTTAAAGGTGTTAAGTGGCGTCATCCGGGCTGCTGTCGACCCAGGTGATGTTAAATAACTTTGTTGCTATAAAATGACTTTAGGGGGAAGTGAGTGATGTTAGGTTGTCTTCAGAGGAGTTGGATATTCCCTGGCAGCACGAGGTAGACTCCAGGAGCCCCAAGGTGAACCTACTGTAGATACATCCAGGCGCTTTGAACGTGTGTCAGGTAACCCCGGGTGGGGTGATCCCTACAGGTATAGGTGTGATTCACCTTCCCTGCTTTAGGTGTAGGTGTTAGGGAGTGATTCACCAGTCCTGCTGAAGGTGTAGGTAGGTGATAGGAAGTGATTCACCAGTCCCGCTGAAGGTGTAGGTGTTAGTGAGCGATTCACCTGCCCTGCTGAAGGTGTAGGTGATACTGTAGTGAGTGATTAACCAATCCTGCTGAAGTTGTAGGTGTTAGGGAGTGATTCACCTGCCCTGCTGACGGTGTAGGTGTTAGGGAGCGATTCACCTGCCCTGCTGAAGGTGTAGGTGTTACTGTAGTGAGTGATTCACCAATCCTGCTGAAGGTGTAGGTGTTGGGGAGCGATTCACCTGCCCTGCTGAAGGTGTAGGTGTTAGGGAGCGATTCACCTGCCCTGCTGAAGGTGTGTGTTAGGGAGCGATTCACCTGCCCTGCTGAAGGTGTAGGTGTTACTGTAGTGAGTGATTCACCTATCCTGATTAAAGTGTAGGTGTTAGGGGTGATTCACCTGCCCTGCTGAAGGTGTAGGTGTTAGGGAGTGATTCACCTGCCCTGCTGAAGGTGTAGGTGTTAGGGAGCGATTCACCTGCCCTGCTGAAGGTGTAGGTGTTACTGTAGTGAGTGATTCACCTATCCTGCTTAAGGTGTAGGTGTTAGAGAGTGATTCACCTGCCCTGCTGAAGGTGTAGGTGTTAGGGAGCGATTCACCTGTCCTGCTGAAGGTGTAGGTGTTACTGTAGTGAGTGATTCACCTATCCTGCTTAAGGTGTAGGTGTTAGGGAGTGATTCACCTGCCCTGCTGAAGGTGTAGGTGTTAGGGAGCGATTCATATGCCCAACTGAAGGTGTAGGTGTTGGGAGAGTTCATCCTGTATAGGAATATTGTACTCTCTAATGACCATGATTATCAAAATCAATGACGAGATATATATATATATATATATATATATATATATATATATATATATATATATATATATATATATATATATATGTGAGATATGCTTTTATCAGATCCTCTGGTCCAATATTTATCAAAATCATATCTTTCAATTATATCAATTAATATCTACCACTTATATGAATCATAAAATCTAACCTACCATCATAGTCGTCAATGCCTTATATACATGTATCATTATAACTCCACAATATTCACCACTTCAGTTATTATTAGTAGTATACTGACCTGTATAATCTAACACACTGACTGAATCCATAAATAACTACTTTACTGGATATGTTGCCAGACATATAAGTTAGTTACAACCGTTGTATGACTCCAGACAGGACGAAGCTGTCTTTTTGTGGTGTTGTGTTAAAGAAGGTTAATTTTTTGTCAGTGGGTGAAGTGTACACAGCTTCACTACCTAACACTTAGTCGAGTGGAAGACGTCACTCAACTGACCCGAAAAACTCAACACAGGCCTCATAAACCATCTTATTTTCTTTACAATGTTCTTTCATATTATTCTGAATTTTTTACGCTAAAAAACTGTTCTTACTTGTACATAGGAATATTATCCTCGTATCCAATTATTCCTTTTTTTCCCAGTATGTAAATTACCAACTGAATCGTTCTGTTCGTCTATAGTGTAGGTCATCAACAGAGGTCAAAGTGTTTACGAGCGAGGAGGCAGAACACGTAACACTGTCTCTCTCACACGTACGAGGCTATACACAATTACACATTGTTGTGGCCTATTTGTATACGAGGTTATGAGAGGAAGAGAGACAGGACTCGAAAGCTTCGTGTATATAAACTGACGGGTTATGTGAGTTACTGTTTAGTTTATTCATGCCACTTGTTATGTACAGCAAGTGTGAGGTAATGGTGGCTCTCGTGCAGGGTCATGGGACATAAGAACACAAACGTATGATCTACACATCATGTCCTTCCATAATTCGTGCTGCTGCTCCTACCCCTCTCCTTCTCCATCTTCCATCCCCTCCTCCTCCTCCTCCTCCTCCTCCTCCTCCTCCTTCTCCTCCTCCTGCTCATTCACCTCCACCTCTTCTTCCCCCTCCCCCTCTTTCTTCTTTTCCTCCTCCTCCTCCTTCTCCCTCTCCTTTTCGCCCTCCCAGTCCTTCTCCTCCCATTCTCTCCGCCCTCCTCCTTCTCCTTCTCCTTCCCACCCTCTTCTCCTCCTCTTCCTCCTCCCTCTTCCCCGTCCCCCAGTTCTCCTTCCCCTCCTCTATTCCTCCCTCCTGCCCATCCTCCCTCCTCCTCCTCTTCCTCCTCCTCCTCCTCCTTTCCTCCCTCCTACCCATCCTCCCCTCCTTCTCCTCTTTTTCCTCCCTCTTGCCCATCCTCCTCCTCCTCCTCCCCTCCTCCTCTTTTCCTCCCTCCTGCCCATCCTCCTCCACCTCCCCTCTCTTCTTCCCATCCTCCTCCTTCAGCTCCTCTCCTCCCCCCTTCCCCATCCTCTTTCTCCCCACCCTTCTCTTCCTACTCCTCCTCCTCTCAACAAACATATTGCCTTCTCTTCAAGATCGGCTCACACAAGGAACTCTCTAAGACCTTCACAAGACATCAATATCGATTCCCACAAATAATAATTTTTTAAGGGCAGGAAATCACAAGTTGTTGGTGTGACCTTCAAGTTGTTAGTGAGGGCTTACGCTGAGTCTCGTCCTTATGGTGACAAACGACAGTACGTGGAGATAAAGGGAGAAGGTTTGGGTGTGTTAGAGTGTTATAGATTGATTATTGTACTGAATACACGTAACATGTTTTGGCTATATGAACACGCCTCGTTGGTGCTTTATAGTGTGCTGCTTTGTCATTATACTCAAGGGGTACAGTCATCATCCTCAAGCGGTGGAATTATCGTCCTCATTGATAAAGTCATCATCCTCAAGGGGTGAAGTCATCATCCTCAAGGGGTGAAGTAATATCCTCAAGGGGTTAAGTCATCATCCTCAAGGGGCGAAGTAATCATCCTCAAGGGGTTAAGTCATCATCCTCAAGGGGCGAAGTAATCATCCTCAAGGGGTTAAGTCATCATCCTCAAGGGGTGAAGTAATCATCCTCAAGGGGTTAAGTCATCATCCTCAAGGGGTGAAGTAATCATCCTCAAGGGGTTAAGTTATCATCCTCAAAGAATTAAGTCATCACCCCAAGTGGTGGAGTTATCGTCATCAACGGGTAAATTCATCTTTCCCAAGGGGTAGCGTGATCGTCCTCAAGGGGTTAAGTCATCATCCTCAAGGGAGAGAGTAATCGTCCTCAAGGGGTAGAGTTATCATCCTTAAGGGGTTAAGTCATCATCCTCAAGGGGTAGAGCTATCATCCTTAAGGGGTTTAGTCATCATCCTCAAGGGAGAGAGTAAACGTCCTCAGGGGTTAAGTCATCATTCCCAAGGGGTAAAGTCATCATACTTAAGGGGTTAAGTCATCATCCTCAAGGTGGTAGAGTTATAGTCCTCAAGGGGTTAAGTCATCATCCTTAAGGGGTAGATTTATCTTCTTCAGGGGGTTAAGTCATCATCCTCAAGGGGTAGATTAATCGTTTTCAAGGGGTAAAGTCATCATCCTAAGGGTAAAGTTATAGTCCTCAAGGGGTAAAGTCATCATCCTAAGGGTAAAGTTATAGTCCTCAAGGGGTTAAGTCAACATCCTTAAAGGGTTAAGTCATCATCCTCAAGGGGTTAAATCATCATCCTCAACGGGTTAAGTCATCATCCTCAAAAGGTAGATTTATCTTCCTCAAGGGGTTAAGTCATCATCCTCAAGGGATAGATCTATCGTCCTCATGGGGTAAAGTCATCATCCTTAAGGAGTAGAGTTATCTTTCTCAAGGGGTTAAGTCATCATCCTCAAGGGGTAGATTTATCATCTTCAAGGGGTAAAGTCATCATCCCCAACGGGTAAAGTTATCGTCATCTAGGGGTTAAGTCATCATCCTCAAGGGAGAGAGCTATCGTCCTCAAGGGGTAGACTTATCGTCCTCAAGGGGTTAAGTCAAAATCCTTTAGGGGTAAAGTCATCATTCTAAAGGGTTTGAATTATCGTCCTCAAGGGGTTAAGTCATCATCCTCAAGGGAGAGAGTTATCGTCCTCACGGGTGTAAATTCATCATCCTCCAGAGGTAAAGTCACCATCCTCAGGGGTAAAGTCACCATCCTCAAGGGGTAGAGTTATCGTCCTCAAGGGGTAGAGTTATCGTCTTCAAGGGGTAGTTATCATCCTCGGGAGGTAAAGTCATCATCCTAAAGGGGTAGAGTTGGGGTAGATTTATCGTTCTCAAGGGGAAGAGTTATCATCCTGAAGGGGTAAAGTCATCATCCTCATGGGCTAGAGTTATCTTCCTCAAGGGGTAAAGTCATCATCCTCTAGGGGTTAAAAGATAGTTAAAACTATATAACACTTTTTCATTAGTAAAGTTTATGATACACGTCAGGTGTGTGTGTGTGTGTGTGTGTGTGTGTGCAAGCAGAGATGTCCCAGTCACCCGAACCATGCGTGGC